AAAAAAAAAAAAAAAGGTTATATTTAGTTCCCAACTGTGGTGCCCTGAAAGCCAAGGAGAGGAAACATTTTGAGAAAGTGAAGATGGCAAACCTTGTCGAAGGTAAAGAGATGTCAGGTAAGATTAATGATTGAAAAGTGACCAGCAGGTTAAGCCACAGAGGCACTAAGTCAGAGGACTAGTGAGGAGATGCCTTGGACAATGAGCGGTGGGATGGAGTTGGGGAACAAAGAATCCTTCTATCCAGAAGCAGCTTCCTAAGATAGTTATAAAGTGTATTGATAAGGAGCTTTTGGTTTCAAGTAAAACAAGACCCAATTAACTATTGTTAATAACTTATCTTATTACAGTAACAAGTGTGAAGGGAGGCTCAAAATGGTTATGCATTGCTGAGGGAGATGGTGGGTTTAACTAACACTTTTAAAATGTAACTTAATCAGTATTTTTAAAAACATGTTGTATTATCATATGCAACATACTACCTTTTAGGTTCAAATAGGAAAAATTTATACATTTAAGTTGTATTTGCACCTTTAATTGTATTTATATAGGCATACATTTTCTCTGGATCACACTGGTATTTTGGGGAAAAGGTTGAAATTTACTTTTCACTGTATGCCTTTTTAAAAAATATTAATCCCCTTTAAAATAATTTATTTTTATTTATATGTGCATATAAGAACTGGGGTATAGGCCATAGGTGCAGGAGGTGAGACAGTGGGGAACAGAACAGGCAGACTGACTGAAATACACTGCTGAGGGGAGCAGCAGGTGGGACAGGAGAGGTCTGCCACACCCTGTTGGTCACCTCCCTGGCTGGGGATCAAACTCATGCTGCAATAACCCCCATGCTACCAGGGAAGTCCAGCTTGTTTTAACTTTTTAAAAAATACAATATGACTTTCTTTGTTTTAATACAGTTTACGAATTGGTTTGAAATACCATGTTTGGAAGCATTCACTTAGAACTGATGCTTTAGAAGTAGGGTTAAAAAAAAGGGTTTGGTAATAAAAAAATAAATCAGTTCAATTTTTGTATAAAAAAAGTATTGTATGAACACCAAGGCTCAGGTTCTGTGAAAGGTTTGGGAAAGAAGAAAGGAAATGAGACAAAATGTCATGCCAATAGCCTGCTTCTTGATCTGGTAGTAATTACATGAGTGTTTGCTTTGTGAGAATCTATTGATCTATAAGTACTTTTGCTTGTTTATTATATGCACCAAAATGTACTATGCCAAAATCTCTTTGTATGAATGGTACTATTTTCCTCTCCACCCTCCTCTAATTGGGTTTGAGAAATGGGATGTAATAATTGGCAGTGTGAAAGGGCTCAACAGAGTTTCAACCTGTTTTAGACAAACTGTTCTTATCTAGATTATCAATTTTATATATTGGAGAATTTTAAAGAGAAATCTTTCCTCTTTTTAAAATGTGACTTTCTCTCTCAAAATACACACATACACTAGCACACAGAGAATACCTGTACCTTATATAATGTTATAAACATGTATAAGAAGCTCACCTCAATATTAAAAAAAAATCAGAAAAAGAAATGAAGATGTAAGATGCTTTTAATTGTCTTCCTCTATGCCTGGAACCTTAATCCCTATGCACTGATAGTAATTAGC